TGAAACAACTGACAGCTATCACAGTGACTCAGAATCAGCCTAACAACCATCAGGACTTCAAAAGAAGTCCCTTTGATGGGCTTTTGGTTATGTGAAATTCTCAAAATGTAAACTTTAACTCATCCTTCTTTTCCAACTGCTCAAAAAATCCTCCTTGAATGTAAGTAAGAATGATGGCATTACAGGGATTCCTTTGAATCTGGACTAGTTTCTTTTTTAAGTGAATTAATGATAAACTCTAATACTTTATCCCTTTTTGGTAAAGTTAGAGCTTGCTTCACAAATTACATTTGTCATATTATCTGAATTTCAGGAGGTGACAAGATCAGATTTGCTATAGAATAACTGTTTTTTGGGGGAAGGTATGAAGGGGAAAATTAGAGGAGGCAGAAAGACCAGGCAGATACAGCTTCTTTAAGCTAGATGAGAGATGATGAGGACCTGAGCCGAGGAAGGGATGGTACAAATGAATAGGAAGGGGAATTCAGAAAGCTTTCAGGTTGTCCCTAAAGACATGGGATAGGATGGCCTTTGAAATACGAAAAAGCAAAAGGGAGAAGATTGGAGATTTAACTTCAGTACTGATGTTTACTACCTATTTGATCTTATACACCTAACTTCTCAGAGTCTCGGTTTCCATCATTTATAAAATGGAGATAATAGTAAATAAACAGAGAAGCATTATAAGGATTAAATGAAATCAGGAATGAAAAGCTCGGGGCCTAGTACAGAGTAAGAGCTCACTAAAAGAGGGATTGGAAAAAGACTTTGAGCTTCTTCGTAGGACTTCTGAAAGATGGTGGGGTCATTAATCTAACACCAAAATACAGAAGGAAACACGTTTGAGGAACAGATACCAGTTGTGTTTTGTTGAGTTTCAGGAGGCTACAGAACATGTAGGTAATTAGTATGATTGGCAGTTGAAAGCACGGGAGCATTGGTGCGGCGCTCAGAAGAGTGGGGCTAAGGAACCGTTTTTGAGTTACTGGTGAATTGAAACTATAGGTGTGTGTGAGGGGTTGATTTCTGTAGGGAAAGTGTACAGACCATAGAAAAGAGGAAGCAGAGGCGAGAACTCTCTGACCCAACACACTTCAGGAACAGAGAACTGAATCAGGAAAAAGAAGAAACAGTTACAGAAGTGGACACAATGACCCCACTTATGTGAGATATCCAAACAAGGCAAATCTAGAGGAACAGATAGCAGATCAGTGCTTGCCTGAGGCTGGGCGGGGTGGGGGACCAGGGCTGGCTAAAAGCATACACCAGGGCTCGTCTTGGGGGTGATGGAGATACACAGAAACTGGAGTGCAGTGATGGTTGCACAACTCTATTCTTTATAATTGACACAAAAATCATTACATTCTAAAATAGGTGAATTTTATGCTATGTAAATTATACCTCAATAAGTCTGTTTTAAAAAAAAGTCAAAGGAGGTGAGCATGAGCAACTAGGTTAAATAAATGTGGCAGAGAGGTTAAGTGGGATGAAGACTGAAAATGCACCATTTCACCTGTCACCTACTAAGAAGAAGCTTACAAGAACATTTTCAATGGAGTGAAGAGGTAGTAAATGGCAGGACTGGAAAGTGAATAAACACAGTGGGATGAGGACTGGGGAGGCTCAGCAAGAAGAGGAAAGAAATATCATTTTCCCATTTCAGGAGTCCAGATGTGAAGGGAAGGAAAATTATAGAGTGGTTGCTTTAGTGAGGGCAAAACCATTTGGACATAACTGTAGACCAAAGGAAGGAATAGAAAAAGGAAATTTTTAACATTAGAGGATGCTGAAGCAAGATTCAGAAGGCTGCACGGAGCATGCAGGGAGGGATCTGATAGCTGATTAGCGTTGGACACACAGAGAAACTGCACTTTATTGGTGACAGTGGAGGAAGGGTGAATACGCCAGCAGGTTTGAAAGCAGAAGGGAGTCAAGGCAGGTAGGCTCAAGGGACTCATTTTTCCTCAGTCACATGAAAGGTAAGGGCACAGGCTGAGATTCAGGAACTGAAACTGAAGGAAGAGGTTTGAGAATTGAGAGTGAATGGGCACCAACTAGAGAGCATATGGGGGACTTGGCTGAGGTCAAGACCCATAAATTTGTAACAGTGCCCATCGGCACAGTTGTATAATTCTGCAGGAGCATCCAGAAGCTTGGAAAGAGAAGCTGAGTAAACAGAGAGAACAGACCTAGTATTGGGACTTGCTAGAATCAGACAGGGTGGAGGGTGGGGAGCTGAGGGCATGGGGAATAGAATGGAATTGAATAAGCCTGAGTCGGTGAGAAAAGAGGAAAAGCCTGAAGGGGTGGAGACCGACAGACTGAGAGCACGGCCAAGGTCAGGACAGAAGGCTCTGGCTCCACCAGGAAAGAAAAGAGATGTAGTGAAAGCGGGGAAGATGAAAGGACATGAGGTCCTTCTGGGAAAGTGTTGTCTGCAAAGCTAAAATTCCAGCCCTAGTTCCCAGGCTTCTGGTTCCAGAGGCCAGAGTGGGCCATGGAGGTAGACGCTGAGCAAGAGCCCAAGAAGGTACATTTTTGGCAATGAAGGTGCACAAAAACAAGTACTTCTCTGTATCTCCTCTGCCATTTCAAGTTCTGAGAAAAATATTAATCAACAGAACAACCTGTCAGTTGTAATACCTCTGCCAAACTCAGAGCCAAGAAAAACTTAAAAAAAAAGCACAAAAAGAAAGATGTGGATGGAAGTCTTCCTACTTTGTAACATAGAGAACTATATTCAATATCTTGTAATGGCCTATAATGAAAAAGAATATGAAAAAGGAATGTGTATATGTGTGTGTATATATATATATATATATATAACCAAATCACAATGCTGTATACCAGAAATTAACACCACATTGTAAATCGACTATGTTACAATTAAAAAAAAAAAAGAAAAGAAAGATGTGGAAAAGAAAAAGGAGGCAGCGCAGTGGTTACCTGAGATTTCCAGGGCCTGCGCATGGCCTTGCTCCAGAGGGGTGAGAACTCAGAGTATCATAGAAGAGCTGACAGAGGTTATGTGGGGAGGCAGGATGATGGCCCAGGGAAGTAAGGGTCAGAGTGTTGGGAGGGTTAGGGGGAGAAGATGGAAACTGGGAACGTATTTAACATTGGTTGGCTTTACCCCTGAGTGGACCTTGCTGGCTCCACCTCCCACTCAACCAGCACCCGCTTCCCTGAAAGAAGAGTGAACCACAGGGACCTGGGTGCACTGGGACCAGAGTTAAATGAGGTTAGACTCCAGTACTTCTCTAATACTGCTGTCCCCTTCAAGAAGCTGGGACCTTTGAGAGAATCCTAGTCTACCAAAGGGAATTTTACAGATTATTTAGTACAAACTAGACAAAATAATGCCCAAAAGACATGCAAGAGAGATCTGAGACTGGACCCACCAGCCCATAATTTCTAATTCTGTGTATTTTAGATAAATCACATGAATTGCTTAAATATTCAAAGAGATTCATGACTTATTTTTAAATAGAAAATGACTTTTTTTTAATGATTTTGTTCTATAGGATACTGTAAATATTTGTAGGTCATAGTAAAAAGTGCTTCAACACTGTCACTTTGGTTATTTATATATAACTACACATACCCTTTATTGTTTTCCAGTAAAATAACTTACTCTTCGAGTTTGTGTACAGTGCCCTGGAGAACAAAGTGGATATAAATGAGTACATGCACTGGGGTAGAAGATCTGGAACAACCTGTGAGGGCTTCTATTCCTAGAGAAAGCAGGAAGATAGGCAGATACCATGCTGCCAAAGTTCGTCAGCCCATAGGTACCATACCTCCTCCGATGACTTTAGAAATGCCACATAAGTTTGCAGGATTTGTGATCTAGAGCTGATGCTTTGGCCAAGTATGTTTAATTCTCTCTCTAGCCATTTAGCTTTAGAAGAAAGCGATGCCACTTCATCAGGTTCAAATTCATTTTTCTCCGTCAAGAGTTTCGTGGCTGCTTCTAATTCATGTGCTGTCTCCTATGAAAGCAAAGCACAGGGGTCAGAAGTTGACAGGGGAATCATGAACATTCACATTCCATTACCTTCCCTACCACCATCTATTACGATTATTAATTGAACTTGTACCAAAACTCTCCTCAATAAAAAAAAGGCACATATTTCAAAATTCGGGAAAAAGGCACCTTAAAATGAAAAACCATCTCAAATTATTCTTTCACTCTATCAGTTATACTGCTTATTTAGAACATTCTATTTTCAGAGCCACAAATAGAATATTTAGTAAGAAAAGGTCTAAAATAAATTGGCAGAAATGCTAAAAATAATTTAAATAAAAGAATTACATGGGATCATTGCTTTATTAAATTTACCAAGAGCTCTAGAAAATTCTTAAACTAATTTTGTTATAGAAGAGATGGCAAATTTATAGAACTTATTTACTCATTTTTAATTTGTTAAAGAAAGCCATATCAATTATGTAGTCCTATTAAAGTCTCCATCCACAAGAATTTTAAAATAAGTACAGGAAAAATGGTACACGTGAAGCCTGAATAACATCAAGAGTGAAATGGACTTGCTTAGGGTCGCTCTCCAATGTATTCTGTTGAGTGCAATTTCTGGCATATCAAACCGAACCACTGATTCAATGGAAGAGGAGGTACCGTAGTCACCACAGACACAATTGCCAAACAGAACCATGTAGAATTTCATGTGAGACCAGCTAGGATTCAAGCAAACAGGAGACAAAAGCTCCACTCTCATTTGCAGCAAGCAGGGAGTGCTCCCCCACTTGTATTTACTATGCTTCCCAAGTACTCCTGTGAATAAACTTTTAATTTACAAGTGCTGCTTCCAGAGAGCACTCTGGGAAGGAGGAAGGCAGGAGTTTCTCCCCATGCAATTTCCTCCTTGCTTCTAAAATTTTTTAAATAAAAAAAAAAGAAATTGAGTTCAGACATACATTTCATTTTAGACATTTTAAATAATGAATAAAAAACACCCCATTTAAAAAAAAAATCTGGTTCATTGGTGAGTTTCCGGTGGGAGCACTGTCTGTGAAGGAGACTCTTCTGTCAAGAACTGATGGCGTGGTGAGGCTGGTTCCTGCAGACTAGGGCATGTGCTTCTCCTTCCTAAACACCTGCTGGGGCAGGCAGGGACTTCACTGCAGGTTCAGAGCTGCTAGCAGGAATAGTTGAATCTAAGTCCCATGTGAAAGGGGTGAGAGGGTGTTCGAGGAGGCACCAGGTAGAGGGGGGGCATTTTTTGTCTCTAAACATTGGGTGTGCAAAGAAGATTATAATTTATTTTGCTTCCTGGAATCTTGCATTAACGCATGTTGCTTTTGGTAATTTTCTTTTGCAACTCACTCTAGCAGAAAATCACAAATATCCTTAGAGAAGCACACTTCCTGCCTTCTCTGGCACTCCAAAAAGGAGTTGCTAACATCTCTCAGGCAAGAAAAGAGGGCCAAATGAGTGTTAATGCCTGGTTTCAGTGAGCCCTCATAACGCCCTAATAAATGCACATATAAATATAGATAATTTAGATACCCATAACAGCAAGAATTTTTAAGTCATTACTTGCCACAATACCAATTTAGGATTGCAGCCCCCAAGGGAGCTAGGATTAAGTATTATAGCTACTGCATATAAAGAAAATGAAATCATATCTGTAAAAAATAACCATAATAACAACTCTTATCTTATTTACCTTAGCTTGTATATCTAGTTCCAGATATTTACTCAAAATCTTCTCTGAGTCAGAAAGGCTGGAACCGACATCCATTGCACTGGAAAGTGCTGGACTGATTTTCTGAATGGACAATTCTACCTATAGGAATAAAGAATATATTGCAGCCTTAGGACTATGTATTGGCAGATATGTATACATATGTGTACAGAAGGTGACTATTACTCTCTGCATTCCCATTATACTTTATACTCACATATCCATTTTAATTTAAAAAGTTTTAAATAATTCAGAATTTCCCATTAATATTTTATATATTATACATTACATATTTCTATTAATAACGATGTGATACTACTATATTATACATATTATACTACTATAATATGAGGTAATACTACTAACCACCAATAGAGGGTATATGTTTACAGGTATTTCTTTCATTAACAGCAATGAGGTATAGGCAAGAATCCACATTCTCTAAGAATTTATTATCTCTATTACCTAGAATGGATAATGCACTTGTCAACACATCAATAGGGATGAATTTTTCTGGTTCATTAAGTCAGAATCATCCACTGTAAGCTGAATGGGTCCCAGGCTACAGGGATATTTTGAAGCAGAGGTCCAGTATGAGATCACCTTATGGATTACTATATTTAGGGTCAAGGAAACCTGGGGCTGCACCACTTGCTGTACATGTAATAATAAAACACAGAGACACACTTCGGTGATTTAATTGATGAATGTAGGGGACTATGATTTGGTCTTCAGTACACATGAATCAATGAATAGAGAGACCTTTAAAGGGTTCTATTCAAGTTCAGTTACGGCCTTCATCCGCTTGCTCAGTCTAAAGTCCACATATTCCCAGAGTCTGAGTTGGCTCTGAATTGGCAGTAAGACAAGTAGCAGCAGCCGTCTGAGGTCCTCTGTTTTCCACCACCACCAAATTAGCGTGAGTCTCCAGCGCTAGGGAGCACAGCATCACAGCTGCTGCCATATTTGGCATCTCCCTGGACCCAAGCATCAGAACAAGGCTCAAATTCCCATCTCTGGGTCAATAACAGGCGAGGAGGACAGCTTAGATAGAGACGTGGTTATTTAATGACCTCTCTGTGAAGTCTATTAATCTACTAGTGTAAGTCAGGCACACAAGTCTGCAGTAACAAATGAAAACAGCATTGAAGATTTGAGACCTAGACTATGCAACACAGTTCATTAGCATTAATGTCACTGAGATATTACTAGTTTTTGCTATAATCCCACCTACAGACAAGTAATTTTTTATTTAGTCAAATAGTAGCTGCCTGGTTTTATTCCTCACTGGGGATGGGAAATAAAATTTTCCAAACCGTTGTATTCATTCTGTAGAGAGGATTTTTCACATGTATGGTTTTATTCAGAGCAGCCAGGTCCTTTGTACTGGCTCAGTTCAATAAAGTGTGATAATGGCAATTTATTCCTCAAACCCCTACACATCATTTTTGGTATCTGCCTGCTGTTCTTGTGCTGTATAGTGTCATGTTAACCAAAATGCGTGTATTGGAACCATGCACGGAACCATGTAAATCAAGGAGGATACAATCCCAACATGCACATGGTTCAGTCAACATAGTCCTGTGCAAACTGAGAACTGCCTTTGTGTGAACATGTTCAGGGCTAGGGAAGCAGTTAGAATGACATATCTAGCTTTGGCAACCTGGGGCAGGGATAGGTGATGAGCAGTAGTGAATTACAACTTCATTTTGTTCGGATATGAAGTCTAACATGTGATGAAGAGAATCCTATGGAGACACACCCCTATCCTCCCACCATGCCCCCATGCTGCAGTTGCCAGACCATTAACTATTTTCACTAGGTAAGGAGCTGCAACTAAATAGTAGCTTAAGAAGGACGTATTTATGAAATCACCTTTCTTAGGTAGCCCTCCACTGAGGCTGTTAATTGCCGTCTCTTCAGAGCAAATTCCTTGTGCGCGGAACACTGTTGCGTCAGATGATCCACTCTTCCCCTAATGCAGCCCATCATCTCATGGACACCGGTCACGCGAGAGCTGAATGGAGCAAGCCAGCTGTTAGTTCACTCCACCCCAGGGAGAAGCCCCAGGAACAGGGAACATTTGAAAATGAATCTTTCATGATAAGCATGAGTTGATAAAAGTTACCAAGCTTTAGGCTTTAGGATAACAGAAGTTAAGTAGCTATAGTCCTGGTACAGCAGATAGCAAAACAAAATAATGTTTCTTTGTTTAGGTCAGTCAGTCCTGATGGAAAAGATGAGTTTTATGGTTTTTGCAACCAGGTCTAATCTTATTTTCTAAAGGTTCACTTTTTAATATTTCTGTAAGATATTCTGAAAACCTTATGGCAAAAAGCACAGTATGTTTGCCAAGAGTTTTCCTGGGGGTGTTATTGAAAAGCTTCATTTATCTAAAGATGCTCTTTGAATAGAAATGTGCATCAGCCAATTAACAAAACATTTACTGATCCAATACGGTAAAATATTTATGTAACACTAAGGTCCTTGTTCTCCATGTTTAAGAATGGTCAAGGCTGTATTCATAGATGAAAACCAAGCTATCACTAACCACTAATCACTAACCAAGTACATCTAATGTACTTCTTCATAAAAAGAAACCAAGCCCCACGTTGTTGTTTCTCACCTGTGCTGGCCTCATGAGAAAAAGAAAAGTGACATAAGAACTCATAAAGTGAAAATGCCTTTAAAACAACAGATGAACTTCGAGTTGGATCCCATTTGCTCTGGTCTAAAGACAGACTAGCAAGTTTCCTAACCATTTCCAACTTAGGCTTATTAGCAATGCAAGACAATGAAAGAACACTGCTGATGGGATGAGCATGTTCTAATTTTCAGCCTACCCCAAGATGGAGCCTCTCCTTCTATGTAAGAAGTTGAAGTCTTTAATTTCCTATCAGTCATTTCCTTCCAATACTAATAAAGATTAACATGGAAACACTTACATTTAATTACCCAGAGTTAAAAAAGATCTTGGAATGAGGTATAGATTTCAGTAGTTTTATCTCAAATAATTATTTTATGACTCTGTAAAAATGAATTTAATTAGTAATGAAATGAGGGCAAGATCCCAAACGCCTGAGAGGTAAAGTGACTTCACAGGAATGACAATGAGGCTGCCAGAGTTGAGAGTTCATCAGGCAGCTTGAGAATCTTGTGGAATGTGCATGGTCCTGTGGGACCACGGGGTCCCAGAGAAGTTTAATTGGGGAGTGAGGAGAACCTTATTCCTGATACACTGTGTTCCACAGGTGTTACACTAAAAACAAGTTGGTTTGCATTTTAATAACTCAGAGACAGCGAAGAGAATAATCAAGAAATCAGGAGAGTTTTAGAAATAATTCTTAACATACTTACATCCACAAATCCTATAAAAGCAGTAACTATAATCCTATAAAAGTTATAATCCTATAAAAGTTACTATACTGGTAACACTAGTCATAATTTGAGTGGGTTTTAGGCTTTGAGACATGGCAGGATAAAAAGGCACTTAAAAGCCCAATTGTCTTATATGTTAATAGTTTTCTGTAGAATATGCAAATTTGAAAAGAGAAAGAAAGAAAAAAGAAAAAGTGAATAAGCACTGTAGAAATAAAGTTTGTCAAAGTAAATGGGTAAGTATTTTCTAAAAACATTTATTGACCTCTTACTGTGACAAGGCACCATTTTTAATGTTTTAAGTAATCTCTTCTGTGTCTTGTAACTATCCCATGATCTGAGTATAACTGTTATCTCTATTTTGCAGATGAGCAAAGTGAGGTACATAAGTGCTCAGTAACTTGCCCAGGTCACACGTATTACATGGCAGAGCTGGGATTTGAACCTATTCATCTGATCTAGGGTCCACACTGTTTACCAACTCATGGTACCTTTTCTGGGTCTGTGACACATCACAGAGGATGGGGAGTAGTCTTCCTCTAAAATTTCACTTTCCCTTGAACTGAGTATTGATGGAAACAGGATTAGCCTTGCTGGCGTGCTCTTGAAATTGGCTGGCTTCCCTAGGTAATGCAATGTCTGTCTGTAGTTTACAAAGTGACCAATAGAGGGCCGACATCATGTTCAAATTCACATCCCGAAGGCCGCTCCAAGCACAGAAAATGGAAATGGGGAAACAAAACCAAATCAAGCAATCATTCCATAAAAATATCGCTCTTTAGCAACTTATAATTTTAATTTAGATGAATAAAAACCAGTCAAATAGGATCTCCTTCTTTGTCTTGGGATGGACCATTCATTTTCAATTTTTCAATGATCTAGGAGAACTGGGTCTCCCTTTGTGGTGATTTATGCCTTATCCTGTGTATCTATTGTATTATCAATTCTTTACGGGAAAGAGAAGATTCTTTTCATTCATTCATCCTCTGCATCTCTGAGCACACAACCTTGAAAGAAGTGGATCAGTGCATATTTTCAAATGAAATAAAATACACCTTGATCAATATTTAAGGGAAAAGAAGACACAGATTTAAGGAAGAGGAACATATGCACAGATAGTTACTGCGTAAAACTGTCACTAGCAACAGTTTCCAATAGTTTTTAAACAAAGAGGACTTTGCCCTTTGCCCACTTACGGAAGTTTTAGGCTATGCACAGACTGCCCAATTTCTTCTTTGATGGGTTAGCATCTATAGTTAGGTTGACTAATACTTTCCTTCTCTGTTCCAAGCCTTATAGGGAAAGACTGAATTGCCTGTCCATGTGTATTCACTCTTACTTGTGGCTTAGATCCCCTCCTCAGTACGAGGAGTTCTCAGTTATGTCGCTTACCCTAGCCAGCTCCTATTTTCGCCTCTCTATGTCCTTGGCTAGATCATCTCTGTCTGATCGGGTATTTAATCCTTTCCCTCTGCCAGATTCCCATTTGGAATCTATCTGTCACACTAACCCCAGGGCCACTCCCTCTCCATTCCTCCTTAGTGAAAACCTAATCTGCAGGTTACAACCAGCCCTATTCCATAATTTTCAGTTAGAGACTTGAAAAACTGATTCCAGACATTTCTTTTGAACATTCCAAAACATTTTAAAACATGGATAGCACGCTTATTGCCAATTTTCTCCAAGCCTGAAATGCAGATGGTTTGATCAAAGGAAAAATATGACCTCACTCTCTGCCAACAATTCGTACATGAATTGAAAATACATTAATAGAATTCCATCAGCCACCCAGAAATGAGTCCTATTACTTCACTGGTAATATTAAATAAATGACGGGACAAGAACTGAGGACAGATAACAGAAATTTGGTTGAACAAAGCCTCTGGGCATTTGGTTCTGACTCTGAAGCCACCTGCTCACGTGCTGCCTGATGGAGTGGCTTAGGGGCTCCCAGTGGACAAGCCTCCAGCTCCAAAAACGTGTGGCTCTGAAATTTGCACTGGAAATACTGACTGACCTCTGGCTGTCTAAGAATGGATTAGACAGGTCCTGTCTGTAGTATGAGCATGAGGTATATCAGGTTATTCCTGACACTGACTTTGACTTCTTCAAGCATCACAGATACTCAGAAACGACAGACTGGGAAGGCTTCTTTAGACATTTGTATGAATCTCCATCATGGGAGTAGTTTCTCCCCTATTCATTGAGCCAGTGTCGAGGAGGGAAGGAGGAAAGAAAAATGATTGATTTTTTCCCCAGAGAGCAGAAACATATTGACTTCTGGCACAAAAAAATAGACTTTTACATTTGCTATATGAAGCAGTTGCCCTATCTTTGCATCTGTTGCAAATTGGGGCTGGGGGAGGGGAGCAAATCCCAACGTTAATGCGTTCTGATGATTCTTTCCTGAAAGCGGCAAGTTGCTTTCAAACCTTTCATAAATTACCATTGGCAGCCCATCTGGATTAGGAGCTGAACCAGATGGTAAGCACTTGACAGCTTACTCCATCTCAACAGAAGGAATCAGCTGATCATATTTTTCCTTTTGTCTATGGAAAAATTATACTTGGAAAATAAAGAAAAATATCTCCTTTATCTTTAGTTTGCTACTTCTCTTGACAGGAATGATTCATGTTTATCATCTTTATTTTGGAGGAAACAATGGCCACCCTCTAGTTTTTAATCCCTACTTTGAAAAAGTGTCATTCAAACTGCAGAAGTGAAATGCATGTTTTTATAATAATTTTTTCTGACTTAAGTGATTTACATTGAGAATCACTGCTCACCAAGTGAATATCACACCCACACACATCTCTTCTGTACACATGGCAATGAAGGAACAGCAGGTAGTCATTGGGGCTGAAGCTATAGGGTTCCTGGGGTCTGGTCCAGATCCATGCAGAGATGCCCACAATTTCCATTCCTATGAGACCAGAGAGACCAAAATGTCCTATATGAAGGGCACCACAGCTAGGATTCTACCTGAAATCAGCAACAGGGATGGCATCCACCCTTCTTGTAAAAGGAGGTTGAAAATGCTCTAACCAACTCCTACTGGAGCCAAGGAATCAGACTTAGCAGTGCAGTCAGGAACCCCCACTCCTCCCCAACCTGGTTTTCTGGCTGCATCTCTGAGAGCCGCAGTATCTCCGTGGGACCTTGAGTGACCCTGACCAAACAGCAAAAGATGGATTCTGGACTGGAGCCCCTGTGAGTTCAGGTAGAAGTCATTGCAAAGCTACTAAAGAGGAGAAAGAAAAGAGGAGAGAACAAAGCAAGGACAATAAAGCTGAAGAACAAACACTTCCCAGCCAGAAGGACAAGCTACAATCGCAAAACACCTGAGGAAAATGAATCCTAAGAAAAGACCTTCAGCCATCAAGACCTAAATGTACTCTACCTGAGGCAAAAATTAAGCAGAGCAATCTGAAAATGACTTCAGTCTAAGAATGTCTCACATTACCAGAGAGATAAAGGAAAAAGTCCATACCCATAATGAAAGAACAAGAACTCTGAAACAAAAACAGAAGTCAAATAAAACTGGATTTGAAAAACAAAGAGTCAGAGATCCTAGAAATGAAAACAATATAGTTATGAAAACAAACAAAAGAATTTGATGGCTGAAAACAAAGGGGAAAT